TGCCGCGCCATCTGAAAGCAGGTGATGGAGATTTACAACTAATCACGGAACCGGCTTTACTGATGAGATGCGCTTGACAATAGCATGTGATTAATTGCACAGCCCTACTTTAAATCTGCAACTTCGCTGGCTAACAAATGCATCAATGTGACCAGCTAGATATAAAGTAATGCAAATAGATGGTAACAATAGTGACATTAAACATTTGGATCGGACTTGCGTGTGTTTTGGTCGGTTGGTATTATTATTTACCAAATGAAATTAATACAGAGAAAGATGCCTTTCTGCATGACTCATGCTTTGCAATTATTTTTGCCCTAATTGTATCAGTTTCTCCATATAGTTCTGTATGAATGGAAATGACATGGAGCGTAAGGCTTTTGGCCAGGACAGTCCATTGTTAGGCCTTGTGCAATGTTTGTCTCTCTGTTAAGGTTTTAAAGGCCCAAGGCGCTTAGTTCATCTGCGTCTTTTCCTCTGTAACACAGAGCATAAAGGCTCAAACAACATAAGGCTCACTATGGGTTTCAAGTGTCACAGCCTCTCAATAATTTAACTGGTTTAATAGAATTAACCCAGATGAGGTGTTGTATTCTTGATGTGAGGCGCTGTTTGAGACTGAACTAGCGTAGCATATATGAAGTCAACATGAAATCAAAAATGACCCAATTTACTTTATAAAGATATTTGTGGTCTAATTGTTTACCTTTGTAATCGATCATCAAAATGTAATAACTTGCACAAAAGGCCTGTTTCTTGTTGAAAATCCTGTTTCACATGGAAATATGTTGTCACATCATGGAATTAAAAATTTTGTAAATTATGCTGTTTTATGTTGACTTTAATACATTAGAAGAAAAAGCAATCTTTGTGAATGAGACAAAATCTTGGCAGCTTAACTCATCTTTGACTGTTAGAGATTTTATCTACTCTTCCTGTTTGAGCAGAAACCACTGCACCATGAGGGGGAAACCAAATAATTTGCCATTCAAAACTTTCAATATAATGTCATATATCATATGTTATCAATTTCTCAGGATTTAGCTGTGGGTAAACAAATTTATCAGGGTTATCCTTGAACTTCAGATTTTTTATGGTGTTGCTACAAACACACTTATAGTATTATTAAATTTATTTATTTTTTTCTACATTTTTATTACTTTTTTCTTTGTTTTAACAGAGAAAAACATGTCCTGAACAGCCATATCAACATTTTGATCTTTCAGTTCGTTTTGATTAGAAATGATTGAGAACTGATTTAATGTCAAAACGAGACAAAATTATTTCCAGGTGAAACTAACTATTGGCTAACTAGGGTCAGTTTATAAACCACTTTTAAGTTAAATTGCAGTGTGAAATGCACTACTGTTCAAAAGCTTGGTCTGTAAGAAATTAATACTTTTATTTCCAAGGATGCATTCGGTTAATCAGAAGACATTTATTATGTCAAAAAAAGATTTCTGTTTCAAATAAATGCTGTTCTTTTGGACTTTTTCTTAATCAAAAAATCCTTTTAAAAAAGTATCACAGTTTCCACAAAAATATTGAGCAGCACAACTATTTTCAACACTGATAAGAATAAGAAATGTTTCTTGAGCAGCAAATCAGCATATTAGAATGATTTCTGAAGGATCTCTCTCTGTCACCGTATTGTTTTCAGGTCTCCACACTCTGTTTATCACCAGATATTTAAATAGTTTGATTCTGTGATGTGGACTGATTAGCATCAGCCTTCAGCAGAACAAATTTGTTCCATTTTCCTGAAAATCACCCTTATTCTTTGTCACAGTGTAAAGCGAGTGCCAGAGTTGAGAAGAATACTGTGGTCTTTTGGCCTTTGATGTATTGCTAAATTTTGGAATGTACCTCTAATTTGATTTGTCTCGAATCATTATGTCTGGGTGGGGTGAAATCGGTTATAAGGTTGTAAATCGATGTGGGCACTTAGAGCAGTCTGGCTGCAGATATTGCTCTTGATCAGTTTGAGATATTTTTGCAGTAAGCCACCACCCAGGAAACTGAATAGCAGTGCGCTAACAATCACACTGAACACCCTAAAATCATTTCAGTGCGTTTTGAATGTACAGTAATGTCCTCTTTTTCTCCCATCAGGTCCATTTACAGATGTGGTGACCACCACCCTAAAGCTCGCTAACCCCACAGACAGAAATGTGTGCTTTAAAGTAAAGACGACTGCACCGCGCCGATACTGTGTGCGGCCAAACAGTGGAGTGATTGATCCCGGAACCTCGATCAACGTCTCTGGTAAATGCACCTCGTTTTTCTTTTTGATGTTATTCACAATAAATGAAGCCTTTAAAGCTATGCCCCAACTCTATCAATGCAAATACCAATACCAAAGCCCACATGTTGCAAAGTTCAAAGATATTGTTGATGTATAGTCGAGGACGATTTGGAATGTGAGCTCTCGATGAGCCTTTAATAGTTTGGCAATTAGCATTTTGATACCATTGATCTTCTTTGGTTTATAAAGAACTTTCAAATGAATGTTGCTGCCTACATAGCTTTTCATAGTTCCATAATTAACAATAATAGCTGTTATTATTTGTACTAATATTATTTGTATATATTTATATAATTATAACTATTCTTATTTATATTATTGTTTTGCTTGCTTCATAATTAATAACAATTATAATAGCTATTATTAGAAGTAGTAGTAGTATTTTATATACATATAATTCTAATTGTTTATTATTTTTTAATATTAATATTTGTTTTACTTGCTTCATAATAAATACATTTTTTGTGCATTTACAGGTTTACATGCACTCTCTTAGACTTAATGACTCACTGTTTGACTTGTTTTTTTGTTGTTGTTGTTTTTTAATGTTGCAGATGCAGAGCCATATATAGCTTCATTACATTAAATACAGTGCTATGACTCATCTGCTCCAAGTCTATAGATTGTGGAGAAACCACTTTGACGTTGTTGATGTCAATATTGTGTGTCATATGACACAGACGTTTGGAATGAAACCATCAGCAGTCTCTCAAAGAACCAAGTTTATGTTGCTTTCAAATGATCATTACCACTCTCAGGTAATTGATCTGTATAAGCAGTTGATATTTAGGTCCAGGCAATTAGGCAATTCTGTCTGTGTGGATCCAGACCCCCGTCCCTGTTATAAGTGTTACCCCTTTTTGCAGACACCTTTTTTTTTTCATACCTGGTTTTAGTAACAAGGTGATGCATCTGTATGTGTGAAGCTACAGGGAATCATCAGAAACGCAGTCCTTTTGTTTTTGAAGGGAAGGCTGAGAATGACACAAAAACATAAAATACTAGGAATAGGCAAATTCAAATCAAATCCCAAATTCAGGCTAATACGAAGCAATGTTGTTATTTGTAAATAAAACTAAAAAGTTTTAAAATTGTTTTAGGTACTTAAAATAAAATATAAAAATACTAGATGAAAAAATAAAATATAAAAATACTAGATGAAAAACTTAAATTAAAAATGCTTCCTTGGCAAGTAATTGAAATAAGTTTAAGATGAAGTACTAAAATTACTCAAACAAATAAAAATATAGCGATATGGAAATATATATAAAAATGACAAAAGCACAAAACAAAATTACTAAAACTTTAACAAATTAAAATGAAAACTTAAAATATGACAAATCTAATTCCAAATATTAATGCATACTATAAAATTATATAAATAATACTAAAGTAACACTGATTTGAAGGCACATTTGCAGATAATTAGCAATAAAACGACCAAAAGCCGGTATCATTTTTTTTTTTTCAGTTTCGGTGACGTAAGGAACAGTGACTCTATGATATGATGTTTCTGTGTCCATTAATGCGGCAGAGTTGAGAATAGTTAGACTTTATTCAGATTAATGAAGACGTTGGAGGACACGCATCTCCTGTGAGATACTGTGGTTGGCAAAATGAAGGAGATGTTTATGTTACAGCACCTTTATATCTATTACCCAACTGCTCTTTGTGCATGACGGAAGCCTTTACATAACCAAGAGATATTTTTGTAACAACAGTTGTTGGTGTCTGAGACCTTCGAGAGTTTTCCTAATAACTCAACTCGTTTGAAATCTCAGAGCCTCTTGGAACCTCATGGACGTTCTTAAATTGCTCTCATTATTCCATGTTGATTCCAATGTTTTGGGATTTCTCTCCATGGTGAGATGCCTGGTCCCTGTCAATATGCACAATAGCTCTGACTCACACCGTTTTCCTTTACTGGTATTTGAATCAGTGACAGGCTAACTCGTCCCTGGCGTGTTTATCGCAGGGGATATACAATGGATTTCGCTTAATGTGCTTTTGACTTTTATCCAGTTCTTTGAGATGAGCCTCTCGTCTCCATCCGTTCTCCGACATCACTGTCAGTCTGGGTTCTGAAGTTATTTGTCGCTAGTTCAAAAACAACAACTTCAAGCTCTGAATCCTACACGAATCTGTTATGATTGCAGAAACTCTACTTCTGTCGAGTCCTTATACAGTATCCACTTCAGCATTTTCGGAGGACTACACACTTACTTAAGTGTTTTAAAGGGGTCATATGATGCGATTTCAATTTTTCCTTTCTCTTTGGAGTGTTACAAGCTCTTGGTGCATAAAGAAGATCTGTAAAGTTGCAAAGACTAAAGTCTCAAATCCAAAGAGATATTCTTTATAAAAGTTAAGAGTCAACCATGCCTTCCTTAAATGGCTCGTTCTAACACGCCCCCACATGTCTACGTCACGATGTGGGAAGATTTGCATAACGCCGCCCAAATGTTTACGCAAAGAAAGAAGGCGTAACTTTTATTCTCGCTTTAGTATTGTTGTTGCCGCCGCCACAATGTCGTGAAGGCACTGTGTTTCGTTGTGAAAGCGAAACTACTTTGGTTGGCTTTCCAAAAGAGGACGATATCCGCTTCGTCATGCCTAGAGCCTAGAGCTGATCCGTGCTGGTTGCTGAGGAAATACTACAACGTTGCGCTGTGGATCGCCGGATCGGCAT